AAAACTTCTTTCTGCCTATTATATTGCGTTGTCAGAAAAGTCATGATGAATTTTTCTGTTTTTCTATGCAAAAATGCTTCATGACTTTTCTGACAACCCAATACTACGTTTAATACTCACTTGGCTTTTTTGCTTTGGCCTTTTGTTTATGTTGACTGGTTGTACAATTTAAGTGTCACTGCAGTTTTAACCCAATGCCAACGTAATTAATTATTGGGGCCAGCAGGTGGCATGGTGGTTAAGGTGCTGGAATTCTCACATGGCAGACTGGTTCGAATCCCGGACCTGGCGGCTTGCTTTCTTACTCTCACTCTTTCTCTGGTAAATTCATGTAAAAATAACAAATAAGTAAATAAATAAATATACAACATAATTCTTAAAAAAAAAAAATATTGTGGTTTTAGAAAAGCCCTAAAGGCCGACCTGTGGCATATTGGTTAAGAGAGCTGGAACTCACTTCGTTGACTAAGTGGTTCAAGCCCTGGACCTAATATCTTGAAAAAGACACCAGACACATGCATTTAGACTCAAAAATTCAAGAGGGAGAGATGGAGGAGAAAGGATTGCACTGTGACCACTCCTCATGGAGGGTGCTGTCTCGATGGAGGGTGCTGTCTTGGTCTCTCTCTCTCTCTCTCTGGCAAGCACATGTACCTTCCAGCAAACTTTAAATAAAAAAAAAAAAAAACTTTTAAAAAAAAATCTTAAATTTTACTGTATTGTTTTACAGATAGCTTTCGAAGACGGGATACTGCTCAGCAAGGTGTTGTGAATTTTCCATATGATGATGTAAGTCCTAGTATGTTAAGAGCTAAGTAGAAGGGTAAGATATACACCAAATGGGCATTCCTTTTGAAGTTAATTGTTAAGAACATCTTAAAGATCCTGGAGAAACCAGGGGTTAAACAATCAAAAGGAGTTACTAACCAAAATGTATTAATATCATTTATTTATTAGTCTTTTCTGTAATTATACTACTGTTTGATTTGCATTAAAAACCCTTGGTTCAGGACCCAGCATAGTAAATGTATTAGCCAGTCCACTTAAGCAGTTGTCTTCATTGCTCTGAGACTATTTGAATAAAGAAGGTATAGTAATACTACATTCCTTGCTGGACTATTATAAGATTTCAATAAAAAATATCCTTGAAAAAACACCATGTAGAACCAAATCATCCCAGTCTTTAAAAAGTAGCTTTAACAGCTCAAAGCAGTGTTCTGCACACTTATGTTCTTCATTGGAAGCATAAGGTACTAAATTATAAACTATAATTTAATACAAGTTGTTCACTAAACAGCCACACTAAATGAGTAGGATAAGGCCACTTAATCAGCGTGAACATAACCAGGTGCCATCAGTGGTGGCAACAGTATTTTTCCAGTTTTTGTTTGGCCGTTGGTTTTAAAAAATCACTTTTAGAGTTGAAATCACTGTAATCACAGTAGTCTAAAATGTTTCTCCATTACCAAGTACACAGAAGTACATGCATATTTTCAGTTTAGCAGCTGCCGCCATAAGTACACCTATAAAAGGCTCAGGGCGTATTCACACGTGCCTATTTCTTCTACTTTAAGGTGAGCTGTCTTTAGTGTCCACTATTAACCTCTGAACTGACAGTCCTGTCACTGTTTCCAAAGATCAAGAGGCAGCCTGGGGAATGGAAAGAGATTGGACTTTAGCCAAACAGGACCAATTAAGAGATTCTTAAATATCCTGATCCTTGGATTTCTTTTCTCTCAAAGATGGTTAATCAGCTTTGACTTCAAGCCTTACTAGTGTTGAGAGAGTAAAACAAAAATCAAATTTTTTTAAGAGCAAAATCTGTCCCTGTGTGTTTACTGAGGAAGCCAATCACAGCACACACTGATGCTCCTAAACTCAGGTTTCTGAAATGCCAGAGAAGGGTCAGCTTTTTGTTTCTGTGCATCCATATGTTCACATGCTAGAGTTTCTTTTAATAAGGCAGATATTGGGAATAAATGCTTAAAAGTGCTCCCTTAGAGCAGTGGGGGTAATTCTGTGCCCTTTGGACGTCCCCCCCCCCATGGATACAACAGCGTAAATTCCAGTTCTTTGGGTAAATACCTTTGACCATGACTATTTAAGTCTTAGATATTACTTGGAATTTAAGCAATTCTTTATCCATTGTAGTGATACCTGCTTTCTGTTAGGGGTTTTTATGTGAGAAGCCCACTAGATCTCAGACTGCTTCCCTGAAAAAAATGAGTCTTTCCATCCATCATTTACTCCTATATTAGAAGGTGGTTGTTTTTTAAACTCACAATTCAAGTTAGGAAACCAAAATGTAAGCTTCCTAAAGGTAGGCTATGGTGTCCTAAGCATTTGAGGCCTGTAGTGTAAGACTGACTTTTCTCTCTTTCAGTTCATTCAGTGTGTCATGAGCGTTTAAATCAAGAGGAAACTGTGTGAACATAACCGACATTCCAGCTGGAGTTCTCTTTTGCCGTTACTCTTTGCCTTCAGTAATGTGTGTAAACATACATCACGACTTTCCCTTAACAGCTGTTGTTAAGATTTATTATTTTATATATAACTGAAGTTTGTTGCTGGTTTTGATAATAAATCCTTTGGACCTTTCTAATATAAAGGATCAAGTCTATTGCACTGTTTGTAACTTCCTCGAGCATTGATCAGCCATGCCTTATTTTCTTGCTAAGCCTCTTTTATATGAATTTTAATATACAAAATATTTAAGGGACATTATGAGATACTGAAAGTTGTGGATACTAAAACTTTGTGAGATACTTAACATTTTCCAAGATACTAAAAACTTTTTATCCTGCTTATCGCTATCCATCTTCCTTCTCCTAGAGAGACTTTAATATAGTGAACATTGTGTGTGTGGAGAATTAAGTAAATGACTTAAACCTGCATGGATACCAAAAACTATGTCAGAGTTCACCTTGATAGAAATTTAGTAGGAGTTTCAAGACTTCAATAGACATTTTGAAGGCCTTGTGAATAAACAAGGAACATGAGTGGTGGTTTTCTGTTACTTTAAAATCTATTGAATAAGTAGAGTGGCAAATACAATCTGTCACCAACTCCTTCTTTGTCATCATGCATTTAAACCTGTGGTAATTGGATTTAAAAATTTTGTACTTTATAAGTTTAACAATGTAAAAAGAAAACTGATAGGAAAATGCCAAGGAACTATATGAAAATATTAACTATGGTTATTTTTGGCTAATGAGATTCCAGGTGACTTTAATTTCCTCACATATCTCATTGTTTTCCAAATTTTCGATAACGTGTATGCCGTCCTTTTAAAGTTACATGTTCATTTTGAGAATACTGATGCATCCATTTTTGATGTGCTTTATGTTCATGCTTTACAAAATATGTACGAGCAGAAGAACTGGGGAGACTAAACCAAAATGTTGAGCTGGCTACCAGGAGTCAGGATTGTGAGTTCATTTTCTCCCTGTCCACTGCTTCCCCAGATACTCTTTAATAAGCAGGTATTACACGGATAATGGAAGAAATCATTTTAAGACCTGTTTTCTAACCATGGGCTTTCAAGTAAGATCTGGATGCTAGTGCTGACTGTGCCTCTTACTCTGTGTTTGGGCATTTTAGACAACCTGCAGAGTCTGTTTCTCCATCTTTGAAAAGGAATGATAATAATTCTTGGGGTGGTTCTGTATATAAGAAAAAGTGTGCTGGTATAAAAAACCTCAGAAATATTTCTGATTCTTCTATGTAAAACTGGCTTTTGTTTTTTATTTTTTGAGATTTTCTTGCAAGAGAGCATGATACAAAATGAAATTAGTCTATTACTTGCCAGCAGAGTAATCGGTCTTATTTTAGAGCACAATGTGATAATTAACACTCTAGTCAGTTGTCAACCAGTGAAAATAACAAAAAATTTTCTAAGCACCTTTAGCCTTGTTTCACTGATATAATTACCTTTTCAAATATTGCTTTTATACACACACACACACACACACATATACATATATTCATTAATAAATACTGAATCCTGACTTATAACTGTGTATTTATGTCAGGTAGCTGTGTTCAAATTACATGTCAGAATGTGAAGTGGCTTGCTGTAGTTACAGGCTAGGTTTCATCCCAGATATGTTGTATGTGAGGCCACAAACCTTTGTTGGCACATGAGCTGTCCAGAGGAGGACCAAAGGGAGCTCCGAGGACCAGGAGACAGAGGCCCACTGTAGTTTGGTTTAAACTCACCAAGATCCTCTGAGGAAATCACACTTAGTGTTCAGGGAAATGAATATTTCCTGGGTGAGTATGTGCAGTAAGAAGTCCTTGCTGACCCAAGGTCATGGGGCATAACGGAACCATCCTAGCTTTGACAAGTCCCAAGGTGTGCTGCTGCACATCTATCAGGGTTTTGAATTTCTTTAGGTAAGGGCTAAAGTATCTCAAAATAATGTCTCTGGTGGCATTGAGTTAATTCCATTTTAATTGTTGACACTTTGAAACAAGTCTTATCTTCTCCACTTCTGTTTTTACCATTTTTTCCAAAAAGCATAGAGCTTAACCTTCAGCATGTGCCTGCAGTTAGAAGGTTTCCTTCCCCTTGACAAATTTGATGTATCTGTCCCCTTTCTTTGATTACAACAAAGTCTTCATTACAGGTGAATCTCGTGTTGCCTTATTTCTATTTTATGTTGGGTTCTGTGTTTCATTCATCTTACACCTCCAGTGCAGCGTCACCCACTTCTTTAAACAGCTTCTCGGTCTGTTTACTTTTTATCTCAAAGCATCCAGGAACATGGTAAAGCCATGAACCCAAACTTGAATCTTCAGTTCCTTAAATCATGCCAGTTTGTGATTTAATCAATCTTATTTTGGAGTTGTGTGCTCTAGTCTGTACGTCAAGAGGTTCATCATCTATGAAGTATTTCCATATTGCATGCACTTCCATAGGAATGTTGCCAGGAACCTGGTGCTTCCTGGTCCACTTGGTTTGCATCACAGCAGTCACATTAAATTAAAACTTTCTTGTTGAGCCAAATTAAGAGTTTAGTCCCCTTCGGCATGATGTTTCAGGTAGTACCATCGGTCTGCAGTGGCATGCAAGTTAAAACTTCTGGTATCTCTGAATTATACTGCATTGGCTCCTGTGAGTATGTTATTGTTTCAGTGTTCTAAATGAATTATTATATGCCTAGAATATTTTAAACACAAAAAATCTGGAGCTGTCTGTAAATCACAGATTTTTAGAAATAATAATAAATATATAAACTCTGTGTCAATGACTTCCTTCTGTTTTTCTCACATTGAAATAATACTTTGGGGCCAGCATTGGCATCATGGTTAAGGCGCTGGACTCCTATTTGGTCAGCCATAGTTCAAGTCCAGGACCCAGTGGCTTGAAACTCATGCTGGGTGTGTCTGTGTGCATGCCCAAAATCCAGAGGTGATAATGGGGAAGGGACTGTGGTGTAGCCATCCTCCTGCCCCATAGGGGATGATTTCTCACTGTCTCTGTCTCTCTGGTGAGCACACATGCCCTATTGCAAAAATCTGTAAAAATATAAAGAAGTAGTACCTTGATTTTTCTCCTCTGCAGACTATGAGCTGAAAGAAAGAAAATACTGAATGCCAGAAAAAGGACTGGTGGGGAATATGTCTGCTTGGAAGAGGATGAAAAAGCCAGGGCTTTAGACAATGAACTTATGAACCTAAATAACCCATTCAAGGCTCAGTGCTGTAGAATCCAGCACAGACAAGCTTAGTATCATTACATAAGCACCACTGCCTGGGCTACAGGACAGGATATAGGAAACTGGTTCTCCTCGGGGGAGAGAAAGTATGAGGCAAGGCCACGTGGGTAAGTAGGCAAACTTCTGGCACCCAGATGAGGAAGCTGTCTTGACAAATTGGGCACTTGGGCTTCAGTATTTCTCATATTCATGGCCTCTTGTAGGACAGTGTGTAAAACAACTGTCAAGAAGTCCCCCCCCACAAAATTCCTGAAAGAGAAACTGGCTGGGAAGGGGTAAAAAAGAATGAAAGGCATTGTTCATCAAAATAACAGAAATCTTTTATTGAAAGTCACTTTATTGATGTTACAATGAGAGTAACATAGAAAACTGTGGTATCTTGGAATCTTATTAGCTTCAGACATGAATACTAATAAAATTGTGCCAGAAATTTGAACCTCAAGTTACAGTGACCTTTAAAAACAGCAAGATTTTGTTTACCTACAATGTGAGAACAGTTTTATAACTTGAATAGCCAGAAAACAAGTCACACTTGCTCAGGAAAGCAGTCGCCATATGCATTTCACTTGGTGTTTGCCAAAACCCAGCAATTTTTAAAATAGCTTAAGAACCTGAAGTGCAGAGTAGCAGAGAGAATGTTAAAATGATACGAATCTAAGTATATACACAATTACTTGGTTACCAAAAGTGACACCATGCTACTAGTAACACTTCCCCACAGGGTGGCTTCACCATCTGCAGATGGACATCACCCCTTGAAGATGATTGATGTGGAATACACTAGTGCGGACCTACATTGGCTAATACAGAGATGGCTGTGTTTGGGTAACACCTAGTTTCGGAAGGAAGTTGGTTTTTTTTAGATGCTAGTTTGGAGGGGCAAGTCTTACATAAAGTTAAAAAAGGAGTACATGCTTAGTTATTCTGAATAAACCTTTTAAACACTTTTACATTTAGTGTAGTAAAAAAAAAGTTTTCTTTACAAAACAAAGGTGTTGGGTCTTTTCTACCCATTAAAAAAACTGGTTATAGAATCACAGTTTGATTTGTGCTGGATTAGAAAAGCAAAGTGGGGTTTCTAATCAGGCAGTGATACACACGTATAATTTAGCAGGAACTCTCACATTATTTCTTGGTGTATTAATTCATATCAGCACTTTCTGTATTGTGTTATCTGGAATAACTTAGCACCGCTATATTTAAAGATTTGGGGCTATTTGCGTTATTTTAGAGCTTAACATGAAAACACAAATCAGAGCCAAAAACTTCATAAAATAGGAGGTTAAGCCCTAAGGTGAATGCAGATTAGTATTACATATTTTTTAAGCAAGAGAAGAAAATACCCCTTTATAAATTCTGAAATTTTATTGATAATTTTGTATGCATATTAACAAGATTGCTTGGTCTCATTGTATGCCTTTTTCTAAAACAAAATAGGAAAAAAACACATATTTTGCCTGGTTTTGATTTCATGGATACTTAGGAACATAAAAGGATGATGGCCCTGCCCAAAACCCTGCAGTCTTGAAGTACCTCCCAGTGTGATGCAGGTTCTATGAACAATGCAACAGAGATGCACACCAGGAGGGAAGGATGGCCTTGTCATGTCCTGGACCAAGAGTTTTCAGAGCCGACACTCAGTAAAACTACAAAGCACACAAGTCTGTCTTAGGCAACCAGTACCTCTCTCTCTACCACAGTCCCAGAGGTCATCTTGTGCTCTTTGCTTTGGGGCTTTTCCTATGAAGTCCTGCTGCTGCTCCTATGCCAGGACCAATCCCCACAACCTCCCAAAGCTTGCTACTGCTTCTCGCCTCCCCATCCTGAAACTCACACCCTTGGGACCCAATTCTCAGTGACTTCCAAAGTTGCATTATCTATGGCAATGGAGAAGACCAGAGATTTTCCCCCTGGTACTCTGCACCCCTACGGTTCTCCCAGGTGTCAGTTTAGCCAAGAAAGGATTGACTTCCATGTGAATTAAAGTCCCTACTCAGGAAGAAAGGGTTACATAGTAATTGAAAGGGAAGCTACTTTAGAAGTAGGAAGGTTTTGAAAGCATCCCTCAAGTCCCAAAGTGAGGCTGCTTACTGCTGTACCAGGTTCTTGAGAGAAGGGACAAAAATACTAACTAGGCAGGTCTTTGTTTCTAAATGATTGTTTTGGTTTTTCGCTCCCAAAGTGAACCAGAATATGCTCCATTTGGGGTACTCTGACAAGGCAATGAATAAAATGTGAAAAGAAATACTATCCTTTTTCTAAACGCTTGCATCTTTGCACCTGCAGTTGTGGTTGAAAAGCCCCTCTTAGAACTGAAAGCACCAGGCCCCACAGAGCATGAGTTGAGCCAAGAGCATGAGCCTAGCCTTCCCAGCAGGTGAGCTTTTGCATGGCTGCTCACACAGGAAGGAGAGATGGGCTGCTGCCTTCCTGTAAACGGGAAGTTGTTTATGAGACTCCTCATTCTATGCTGGAAGAAAAGTCGCAGCATCCAAAATCAGAGAAGTCTTACCTATTCAGAAATATCTCAGAGGAAGGAAAAGAGTTTGAACCCAAGTTAAGCCCTATTCCACAGAAACATTTGTTGCTTAAGCTAGGAAAGTGAAAATGAGAAATTCATCTTGACACCACATATAGAAGAGGGAAAAAGTATTTAGGTGGCAATTTGGAGCAAATATTAAAAGAAAAAGGAAAAAGAGAATTAGGAACATAAAAGTAGACATGCTGCCAATGGGAGTCAGAGCCTTTAGTGGAAAATGCATGCTGACTTGCCAGCTGGTAGGATGTTTGCAATATGCTGTCCGGATGGGGCATGCAGCAGCGGCCGCCTGCGATGTCCCATGTCCTCGGCAGGCTGGGCAGGCCGCTGCCATGTCTGTGCATTCCTATTAGTTCTGAACTTCGTTCTCCCCTTCCCATAGACTCTGCAAGCTACTCAGTAGCCTTCTGGGAAATTATTTTCTTTAGGTAAAATAAAGCAATATAGTCTTTAATTTATTATCACGTAGGATAACAAAGAAAATTTCAAAGCGCTATATAGAGCATATACATGAAGAGACTTCAAAAAGCCTGTGGAAAATGATATTAAAGTACAAGTTTATTTTGGTGCAAAAAATTGTTTTAAACCCATGCAGACTTCTTTTGTACTATGCATTCTCCATGAACTTTAAGACCTTTGTGTGTTTGTGTGTGTGTGTGTGTGTGTGCGGACATGTACATACACACATATGTATTTATTTAAGGTTAAAACAGAACCACATGATGACAGGACATGAATGGATGAAATGAATAAATGAACGAACTTGACCGAACCATGGAAGAAGTGACTACAATATTTCCTGTGACCCAAAGATAACTGTAAAAACTAAGGAATAAAATGTGAAAGAAAAGGTAACAAAGTAGTAACAAGAGACCTGAGACTATGACAGGATTAAGTAATGCAGATACACAAGAGAATCAACAGAAAAGAATGGGAGATATAAGCCTGTTTGGAATTTAAATATACAAAGTCCTCTGGAAGTGCACAGAATATCAAATTTTACCTTTTCTGCTATTTCTTTTAGAAACCCTATCAATCTTACATTCAGATATTTTATACTGGACTGATCTTACCCACAAACACCATTTTAAAAGCCTTTTAAAGCAAGAAGGGGAGTAAAGAAAAATTAAAGCCTCACTTAGTAAAGCACCAATATCCAACTGAAAAGTAAGCTTAGCTTTTAACCCCACATTTGCTTTATTAGTCAACATTTTTTTAAGGAACAATTCAAAGGCTAGGTTATTTCTAATTGATGTGCTGGATTTCTTTAAAAGTACAGCAACTGCAGCAAATTCAAAGCTCTCATTATGCTGCGCTGTTTGAGAATATTGATTTATTGCTTTCCACGGACTGCATGTGACCTGGGGATCATTTTCTAACTTGCAGACTACAGAGGAAGATGTCATGTTTATCTAAAGAAAGAATGGTTATTTCAGTCAATTAATTCCCTGTTATCCCACCTCTCCTCTGTTGACACTCACTGGACAAACATGCTGTTTTAAAACAGGATTTACTGCACTGTAATGATGACAGATAAGCAGAACATCTCAGGCACAAGTTGCCAATCCAAAGTCTCATCTGTACACAAAACTTTAGAAAGGGAAAAAAGGCATACAATGGAACATACAGGTCAAATAACTGCTCTCCTCTGCTTAGTAATGATCCTACAGTGGACTGGCAATATAAATATTGGTGCATGACACAAACTGCTATATGGCTTCAAAGTTTCTCTCTAAAATGGATATTTAAAAAGAAATAATGCTGTGCTTATATTCAGTGCCATGGGCTCATTCTATCTACCTCAGCAGGTGAAAAGTCATAAATATTTGGCTATAATGCCTCTCCTAAACCGTGAGTACACATATAGATACTTCTTGAAACTATTTATTTAGAGAATAAATTTGTCAAAGAATTCCATAAATGGCTCTAAGAATGTTTAAACATGAGAGAGTAGATAACCAGAATAGAACATTTATACTATTATAGTTCTAAAATAATCATTCTTGTAAATAAAACAAAAACACTTTTCATTCAATTCCATATGAAGGTCATTACTAAAGAGGATGATTACAACTAGACCAACTGTCTCCCAAAAGGCACATGATAATGATTTTTCATTCAAAATAATAATTTCACATAAAAATAATTGAGAAGATAAGGAAAGATACATGATGGAGATCTGTTGACCACTCTATCAGCCATTTGTGCATTCTTTTGACTTAGGGCTTGTGGAAATTTAACTAGGAAGCATATTTACATGAGGCATCTTACATTCAAATCTATAAACTCTTTTATAGGAAAATAAACCTTATAGCATTTGCCTTTTATACACTCAATACCAGAAAACATTCAGTGCACATTAAAGTGATCTTGGTCAAAAGCCACTTTGTTTGCTACATCCTTCAATCTGTCTGCCCTTCCATCTTTGACTTGAGCTATGTGGCAATGTTACCCGACATTCACCCAAACTTCGATCTGATGGATTGTCTTGTTGCAGTATCAACAAGTTGCAATTCCTTCCTGACAGGAAAAAATGCTGTTTTACACTATATAATTGTGGATGATGAAATTGTTTTTCCAACATTTTTAGACTTTCAGAAGAGAGGTCCATTACAGAAGACAAACACACAGAGTATGAAACACTGCCTCCAAACGTGGCCCTTTAGTTTGGGCATCTAAGGTGATTATGAAGATGACATGGATTTTGTCCATGGATGCTGCTGGGAGAGATAAAATATAGAGGCTGCTTGTATAAAATCTCTTCTGAAGACTTTGATCCTCTCAAGCAAAAGCAGAGAAGAGAAGGAAATCAGAAGTACAAGTCACAGCAGAACATGTAATCGATTGCATCAATTTCTGGCCTCCCTAAGGTAATTTTCTTTTGGAATCACTCCGCTGCACTCCAACAGCTATCAAAATTTGGTTTTAAAGTAGGCGCTTTTAATGTAGAATTCTCAATTTTATATAAATTAAAAAATACAGAGGTCAAGATATCATATTATTTTCCTTGTCCATTATTTGTGTAACTTCACAGTTGCTGAATGTTTGTGGCTATAGATGTCACTAGACCCTTTATGACTTCTTGAGGCTGTCCCACCTTGTCTGCCATCTTGCCTCAAAGTCAATGCAGAATGACCTGTTGGGACTCACATTCCAAAGTTGATAAGTATCCTTAATAAACAGTGTAAAAGTTGTATTTGTTAAAAACAAGTCATTCATTTCACAGATAAGGGTGGCTAAAAAGTTTTGTCAAGGAACAAATACTTCAGGCCACAAAGGGGTACAGTATTGACAAGCTGGAAGCTACCAATTCACCAGCAGCCTGTGGTCTCATGCGTCTTTGGTGCACTTGCTCAGTCTCAGCAGGAGACGCTGCTGAGGGCTCACCAGGTTCCGGGGTGAGACTAGCAGATGCGCTCTGGTAGTGAAAGATAACAGCTGCTGAAACAGGCACTGAATGCCCCAGAAGGGAAGCAGACAGCTGGAAGATTCCCAGGGGCGGCCAGTCAGCAGCAGTGTCTCAGGCAGCACTGCAGCTGCACTACTGAACTGCTTCTGCAAGCTGTGGAGGCCAGAAGTTTGGCTGGACATTTGTTCTCTTCCTCAATCACTCCATAAAACTGCCTCCAGACTGTGCACAGTTTAAAGGGATATCACATGTTTTGAACAAATATTAATTGTAGAAAGACACATTTACAGCATTGACCACTATATTTACAACACCATCTGCTTAAAATCTTTGAAGACCATTAGAGGGATGACAATATGATTGTGACTGACTGTTTTTAGGCATTTGGCAAAATACACTTGTGTGTATAAGCTGCTTTTTTTTATTTTAAAAATGTTTACATGTATGTACAATTGTCCTTGTATGCTGATATAAATATGAAAAGTTAAAAAAAAAACCCAAAAATAAAAATACATGTTTAAAGTTAGCATATGGGATATCGGCCTCTCAAAGCTTTAAAATCCTGCAGAAAAATCCTATATGCCTTAGCCCTGCATGCTAGTTTCTATTATGGGATGTTGTTTCCTTAAATATGAAAAACAATAAACAGAAGCTTCATTTCATGCATATAGCATTGCTGTTAACAATGAGGATGTGTTCAGAATGTAAATTCTGAATCCACTGTTGTCCTTTAGGAAACTTGCTACATTTGAGTCATGTGAATTAATTTTATTGATATTTCTACATATATCTGTCATGCGGATATCCATTAACATACCAATACCTTTACTGTTCCATGTTACAGTGTAACATTTCAGCAGTTCTTTTCTTGGTTCAGTTAAATCCTAAGCCAGTGATGAAAAGAAAATGGTATTGAGATGTGAGACAGCTTCCTCTCCTCTGTGGCATCTCAGAGGGTCTTCAAATTGTCTGAAGAGCAGATAGATTTGCAGTGATTCCATGAGGCTGGGTTTCTATAAAAGTTGAAGTAAACAGTTTCGATGTGTCACATGTAAACAGTTGATCTTAAATGGAAGTCTCCCATAGCTGCACAAGAAAAAAGCAAAATTGTACATTGTGAAGGCAGTTTGGCAATTCCATCCATGTGATTGTGGATGCTTGCTCTTGCAAAGTCTAATAAATGGATAAAATAAACACACGAACGTTCAGCTCTTTCCTCTAAAAGGTCTCAATATATATATATATTTTTTTTTTTTGGAGAGATTTTCACTGTAGGGCGCGTGCGCTCGCCAGACAGACAGAGAGAGACATAGAGACAGAAAGCGAGAAATCACCCCCCTGGGGGGATGGTCACGCCGCAATCCCCTCTCCTCCATTCTCCTCTCGGGATCTTGGGCATGCACGCACACGCGCCCGGCGTGAGTTTTAAGCCACCAGGTCCGGGACACAAACCGCGGTCGACTATGTGGGAGTCCAGCAACATAGCCATTACGCTAACTGCTGGTTCCCAAAGGTCTCAATATTTTTAACTGCTACCTTTTGCTACAAAAAAACCTTCACATCCTCATGTAATTTTACTTGAAATATTGAATAAAGGATATATTACATCTCAAATAAAATAAGTTTAAAAATTTTTTGAGAGATTTTTGCTATAGGACATGTGCACTCACTGGAGAGACAGAAACAGAAAGTGAGAAATCACTCCCCAGGGGGGATGGCCACACCACAATCCCTTCTCCTCTATTCTCCTCGCAAGATTTTAGGCACCCACACACACATACCCAACTTGAGTTTCAAGCCGTTGGGCCTGGGACTTTAACTGTGGTCAACCATGTGGAAGTCCAGGCCTTAACCACTATATCACCTGCTAGCCCAATTTAAATATTTTGAAGCTACACATACCGTTCTTTTCCCCATGATTCTGACACAGTCAACTAGAGCAGTGATTCTCAACCCCATCTGCACATCACAGTGATCTGAGAAGGTTTTTGTTTTTTGGAGAGGTTTTTGGAGAGTTTTTTCTATATGGCGCATGCACTCGCCAGAAAGACAAAGAGAGACAGAGAGACAGAAAGCAATAAATCAGCACCTTGGGAGTATGGCCACACCGCAATCCCTTCTCCTCCATTCTCCTCTTGGGATCTTGGGCAGACAGACACACACACCCGGTGTGAGTTTAAGCCACTGGGTCCAAGACTCGAACTGCGGTCAACTACATGGGAGTCCAGTGACACAGCTATTATGCCATCTGCTGGTCCCAATCTGGGGAGGTTTTAAAAATTCCACTGCTCAGGCAACATTAGATTAACTAAATAAAAAATCTCTCTGAGTAGGACTAAGGCATTAGAATATTTTTAAAAGCTCTTCAGATGATTCCTTTGTGAAGCCAAAGCTAAGAACCACTAATCTACTAACACCACCAACTTAAAAAAATCACTGTCTCCAATTCTATCACCACTTCCTAGAAAACTGTTCTCTCTTCAAATTCCATTTTTACAGGACATTTAGTGAATGTTCTTGTATATATAATGAGTTTTTTGGGGGGAAAAAAGGAAAAAAAGTCAAGTGATTAAATATTGGGTTGTTGGAAATGTCATGACACATTATTGCATAGAAAAAAAGACACCATTACTTTTCTGACAGCCCAATAAATGTTTCTGTATAGGTTCCCTTAATACATTCTCTCACTTCTTCATTAAATCTTGTTCTGAGTGTCTGTGCTCGCTCACCCTTACAGGATTGTGCTAAAGTTACCTGTGCTAGCTACATGAAATCTGCTTTATATATCCTTTTCATTAAAAACACACCCATGGGGGCTAGCAGATGGCACAGTGGTTAAGGTGCTGGACTCTCATGTGACTGACCATGGTCTGAATCTTGGACAAGGAGGTTTGAAAATCAAACCAGGCACATGTACGTACATGCCCAAAATCCAGGAGAATGGAGGAAAAGGGATTGCAGTCTGGCCATCCTTCCAGGCGATAATTTCTCACTTTCCCTCTCATTGTTTCTCTCTCTCTCTTTCCAGTGAGTGCACATGCTCTATGGCAAAAAAATCTAAAAAACAAAAACAAACAAACAAACAAAACACAGCCATGTCCTTGTTCTCTGGAAACCAAAGGAACCTTTCAACTACAAGGATCTTTGTAAGTAGATGACATCTATTGGTAGGTTTGAGGCCAATTATATCTGAATGCATGCTCAGGTGATGGTCTCCAGTGGTAAAGAATTTAGACTCTGGCCTCAGAGAGTTGAAGTTTCCTCACATCTGGTTATGAAAAATTACGTAATGAATGACATCTTTTAGAAAGAAGAGAGGAATAAATGAATGATACTGGAAAAACCTGAAGAGAGGAATAAATGAATGATACTGGAAAAAACTGAAAGTCATGTTTATTCCAGTGGGAAAAAAGAGAAGGAGCAAATAATTTCCACTATCAACAATGGGCATGACTTTGCCCATGCCTGTATGACTAACAGAAAGGCTGCTAATAGGAAGATAAATAGAAACAGGACATACTCAAGCTCTCATCACGTGACTTCCTGCACTACTTCAGGAATCTGCAGTCCTCATCAGCAAGAAGACCTTCACCAGATACAGCCCTTTGACCTTGGACTTCCCCAAACCATGAGCTAAATAAACCTGTATTGTTCATAAATAACCCAGTATAGTACTCAATTGTTAGCAACAGAAAAGTGGACTAAAATAAACACAAATTGCTTTTAAAACCTTTTTGACTATAGTGATTTCTAATCAGCTTTTAATTTGTGTTTTCTTACTGACTCTGGGTTGACTCAAATAAATTTGCATGTTCCCATGTTTATCATGAATGAGAATTAATTTAGGGTCAGGATCAAAGAGGCAACTCTGAAACATCTTTCAAAACCAAAAAAATCTAGAAAGCTACAACCTACCAGCAAATAAATCTGCCAGGGCTTTTAAAGCTTTATATTTTTTATGACACCATTTCTGAGAAGATTAACAATAATATAATGGGCCACAACAGAGGCTGGATATTAATAAAGGTGATTACTCTTTGGTGTTATCTTTGACTTAAATATGAGGGATGGTCAGGGTCTACCTCTTCAAACTCCATTATATCTCAAATTTCACATCATGGACGTGTTTTAGAAATGTTGTGAGACAGGGTGGTATCATGATTAGAGTGCAAAAAGGGACTTAATATTTAAATGAAACTCTGGTGAATCACGTTTTTACAAAAATAATCAACAATTCTATTACTTGTTTTTAAATTTTTCATATATAAAAGGCTGTTAAGCTTTGCCATAATCTTTGTCACATTCTTTTAACATTACAGACGTTTTCAAATCTCCTTTCCTTGTATCCAAATTTCACACCTCTCTCCAAAACACTAATCTGATTTTCTGTCGCAGGTTTGCTCCTATTCCGAAAATCTCATAAGATATTATTAGGCAATAAAAGGAATCTTTTCTTTCCCCCACAGGGCACATGCTCTCACTGTAGAGAGAAAGAGAGAGGGAAAATGAGAAATCAGGTCCTGGGGGGTTGGGGGGTTGGCCATGCTACAATCCCTTCTCCTCCATTCTCCTGTTAGGATTTTGGGCACACATGCACAAGTGCCTGATGAGATTTTCAAGCTGCCAGGTTCAGGACTCAAACTGTAGGTCAGCAATGTGCAAGTTCAGTGTCTTAACCACCATGTCACCTGCTGGAACTGAAAGGCCTCTTTTTAAAACATGAACCCATAGATAAATGATAACTGAGTATGTAAGCATACAGAAAAAACTCCCACATACCCTGGCGCTTTGTCGGTTCACTTTTTTCTCCTCATCTGGAAGTGGAGGCATTGGGTAAGGGTATTTTCTGCTGGAGGCAATAGACCCAGTTGATGAAGAAGGAGACTTGGCAGGAGATAAAGTCCTGAGACGTTGAGAACATATAAAATGAATATCATGTGATTGCCTAATATCTTTTTCGAATATCTGACTTCTATTTTCATAAGCTATAATTGTAAAGGTTTAACTACTGGGAAGATTCTATGTCATCCCCAAGATTGGAATGTTGGGGTTTTTATCTTCCTAGTTTCAAGATTGCAATGGATTGTTTAAATGTTAGTACATAGAATCATACTTTTCATCTAGAAAGTCAATAACAAAGTTTTATCTTAGATAAACTAAAGATAAGGATAAAATGGAGAAGGGATAAAATTATTCTAAGAGCTCATAATGGTACACTAGGTATATAACATAACATTGTCTTATTTTTACTACTTAATATAAAATTTTAAAATACAATACTTCCAATTATATCTTAATATCTTTAAAATACATTACAAATTATATATTTATTAGCTGCTAAGTCACACTCCAGTTTATACAAACTCATGCATCAGAGGCCAGTGTGTTAGTTGTGAAGGAACAAAGGCAAATACAGGGTTTTAATAATAAATTAGTAAACATGCAAGCAGTAAGGAGTGCAGAGTTTCAGCCAAACAAAGTCTGATGAGAACATACAAAAATGATCTGATTAGTCCCTACAAATCAGCATTTCTGGGTAAGCTGTTGGTGCATTAGGTTGTACTTGTTTGAGTTTGCATGTGCAGTGGTAATATTTATGACTAAGCTGGAGACACTGGAAAAGCCCCTACCTGCTGCTAAACTGTCTAAAGTGGAAAAAACAGCAGAGTGGGAAAATGTCCACTCATAACAAATCAATGGAAAATAGGCTCCAGCCTGATGGCATAGTTAGTAGCAGTACTGGAAGCCACGCGACTAACTAGGAGTTCAGATCCCGGGGTCAGCTTGAAAACACACCAACGCATGTGCATATGCCCAAGATCCTAACAAGCTGAAGGGCTGGGGAAAGAAGATGATGGAATGACAAGATCCAGTGAGGGTGCTTTCCTCACACTCTCTTGTGCACATGTCTACTCTATCATGAGTAAAATACATAAACTTTTTTTAAAAAAGAAAGGATAATAGATGTGGTAACTGCGGTAGCAATTTGTACTATTGACAAATGTTACCACTACACATCCATGATTCCTTAATTCTTGGTGCGTGGTGGTAATGACCCACATCACGGAACTGGTCATGCTGCCACACCATAGCACAAGTACTTATTTCAGGAGGATGCACCCCATCTGGACTGTGACAGACTCAGCCTTAGAGTGTGGGTGGTGGGGACAACTGGGATAGAACAAGATTTACTGTCAACGCTGCATTCGACAGCATCACCAAGATGTCTCTATTCTCTGATTTTCAATTCTGGTTCAATCTATATAATATCCTTTGCTCTGGTTCTGCCATAATTTTCAAACTAGATTCCATTTTATAGACTCAAAATTCAAACTAAACTTCAAAATTAATTATTCTTACAAACCCTGAGATCCAAGTGAACATTCTTTTTCTTTTTTTTTTTGGAGAGGTTTTTGCTATAGGGCACGTGCGCTCGCCAGACAGAGAGAGACATTAGAGACAGAAAGCGAGAAATCATCCCCTGGGGGATGGTCACGCCACAATCCCTTCTCCTCCATTCTCCTCTCGGGATCTCGGGCACACACACACACACGCGCACGGCGTGAGTTTTAAGCCACTGGGTCTGGGACGCGAACCGCGGTCGACTACGTGGGAATCCAGCGACATAGCCATTACGCTAACTGCTGGTTCCCACAAATGAACATTCTTTATTGATTGAAAAAAAATGGAGAGTGGATCAGTTCATTTTCAATCCATAATTCCTAACATTTTTTTCTGTTTGTAAAATGGCCAGGACCACTTTGAAGCAAGAACTGCTAGCATATAGTAGTTGTTTGACCTCTCATGTTAATGCTCTACATTGCTGAGTGGATCGGTATAATAAAGAATGTAGTAACTTTAAAGTTCTGTTACATATTACTGCAGATTTTTCTATTTCAGAAATCATTTTTTTAATTTTAGGAAGACATTTGAATTAGACTATGATCTCTAGGAAGCAAATCCAGTATGTGTTAAAAAAGAAAGTAAACTTCAGTGTCTAGATATTAAAATGCATCTTTCAAAAATGAGGGCTATTAACCTAAGCTCAACTTTTTAGCCTAATTATTAATGAGACAATATACAAGTTCAGAAATGCTAGTCTCAGGTGCACAAAAAAAAAAAAACAAAACACCTAAATGTTGATTACTTAGGGAATCATGCAAAAAAAGTTCTCTTTTTAATAAGCTTCAGTGTTTGTGTTCATAGTATTAGATCTTGGCTTACAGTTTCACTGACAGGCCAACCTTAACATGGCTGTGAGTCTAAATGACCAAGCTTGTATATATTCAGAGCCATTCTAATTAAGGGGTGCTGAAAAGTCCAGCCTTCCCATAGGCAAAGTCAATAAATAATTAAAACAAAAATAATAGGTCTTCTCCAAAACCTCAAAAGAAATTGCACTTATACTGCTTTTCACATTAACACACCAGTTGGTTGACACTTGGAAGAGAAGCCAAGCAGGATAGTTTTAGCAGGAGAGGGTCAACAGGCCCGGAGATAGGGTGGCTTATGACAGCATAAAGGTTGACAATGCATGGAGGGAGGACACCAGAGTGGGATTTGGAATAAAAGTAGGGGGACAAGGCAGGGGACACCAGTTTAGAAAAAATAAACTCAAAATTTCTCAAAAATGAGGGCTATTAACCTAAGCTCAACTTTTTAGCCTAATTATTAATGAGACAATATACAAGTTCAGAAATGCTAGTCTCAGGTGCACAAAAAAAAAAAAAAAGAAAAACACCTAAATGTTGATTACTTAGGGAATCATGCAAAAAAAGTTCTCTTTTTAATAAGCTTCAGTGTTTGTGTTCATAGTATTAGATCTTGGCTTACAGTTTCACTGACAGGCCAACCTTAACATGGCTGTGAGTCTAAATGACCAAGCTTGTATATATTCAGAGCCATTCTAATTAAGGGGTGCTGAAAAGTCCAGCCTTCCCATAGGCAAAGTCAATAAATAATTAAAACAAAAATAATAGGTCTTCTCCAAAACCTCAAAAGAAATTGCACTTATACTGCTTTTCACATTAACACACCAGTTGGTTGACACTTGGAAGAGAAGCCAAGCAGGATAGTTTTAGCAGGAGAGGGTCAACAGGCCCGGAGATAGGGTGGCTTATGACAGCATAAAGGTTGACAATGCATGGAGGGAGGACACCAGAGTGGGATTTGGAATAAAAGTAGGGGGACAAGGCAGGGGACACCAGTTTAGAAAAAATAAACTCAAAATTTCTCCAAATGTCTAAGGAAGATATTTCTTCAAAACCACCTCCAGGCTCTTTTGAGGCACTGGCTACTTGCCTGGTAGCTCCAACCTGGCTTTTACTTAAAGCCAGGCACACCCAGTTTATTCACTTACAGAGGAAAGTGAATCTTTGGGCACATGTTAACCATTATTGTTATTACGTTTTTAATAACCATAATGACCACGGTGGGTGCCATAGTAGAATTACGCAATAAAGGTATGATTTTCTGCATCTTGGGGCCACCTCAGACTTCCTGGGTTTACCTTCTGTAGAAATGCCTGTCAGGCCAATCTCAGTCAGTTTTAGCCAGGATAGGCTAAAACCAGGCCAGTCACACAAGAGAGACATAAGTTCATCCCTCATTCACTTGTGTTTACATGTGAATTATATAACAGTCTAATTCCAGAAGGATTTATTGAGAGTCTTAGGATAGGATTTACGTAGTCATTCTCCACTCTGCTACTTCTAAGTAATTACAGTGAAATAGAGAGGGAATAGATATGGGAATGAGCTGCAGCTGGGCTTTATTCTTCTTCTGATGCTTACTAGCTGTGCCACCTTGGGTTACTCTTTGTGTGTCAGCTTCCTCCACTCATAAAAATGGGACTAAGAATGCCTATACTTCGTGATGTGAGAAATAAAGGTATATAGTAGGCAATCAATACCTGATAGTTACTGTTACTAGTTTTTTTTCAGAGTCACTGCATTTTCCATAAGATCATGGAAGTAGACACCAAAACTACTGATGAAGTAGGTAATCAACTGGATAATATCCAGGAGTAAGAATTTCTTCTATGAGCGTGCAAAGTATTGTCGCCTGCAAAGTATTATCACCAACAGATCTGAACTCAAGACTTGGGTGTGATGAGCTAATACCAACCCTGATCACACTTGCTCCTTCCTGATGGCCTGAACACATGTTGACACCCACTGTCACATTAGAACTGGGTAAGGAAGTACAACGGAGGCACTATGAGGCACTCTGGTCACTCAAAATCTTTAAGCACTCTGCTCTTCGGAGTAACATGAATACCATATTTTAAATGCTGGACTATATTTTGGACCAGTTTGTGGCACTCACAAAGTCTCCATTGCATTTTGGAAAGAATGCCATAAACCCAACAACACGTGAGTGAGTAATAAGGTGACCCTTTCTCTCATGGGTGGTTTGGTTAGAAGAGGTAATCCTCAATGACCTGGTGGCCGATGAAGCAGATCTGAGCTGAAGCATAGGGGTTGGCAACACATAAGCTAAGATATAGATGCCTTCAGGGCTTCCTATGTGAGGCCTGGCTTTGATGGAGAGTGGATGAAATTCTCTCTACTGTATTAGAATCATGTGTTTAAAGTTCTGGGTCATCTCAGTTACCACTGCCACAGAAATTCTGTGTCGATTTTCAAATCTTATCAGCATAACTAATCCAAAAAGTTGAATTTCAACCAACTACTGACCTTTCTCTAGCTTTGAAATGTAAATATAGATTTTAATATTGAATTCCGAATGTGACTATAGGAACCAACATCTCACATTAAAAGAGGAGATAAAGGAACCCTCTAAAATTGCCCTTGCAGCTTTGCACGTGCAACCGGGGGTGCTAAAGCATTTCCCCATCCAAATTGCATTTAGTCATGCAGCTTCTGGGCAGACCTGGGTGCT